CGGCAATCACTGTGTGGAATGGAGGTTAGGGTGCGCACAGGAAGACAATTCAGCAAGCAAAGCACAAGCACTGACAAGGTAATGACACTCTAATTACTGCAAATGCCATGAAATGAAAAGTGTGCCTGGAATGCAAACATAGGAATCAATGTGTCTCGTTTCTTACATGCTGAGATTCCATACTGTTGCACAAAAGGCAGGTCTTTAAGGGCTCCTTTCAAAGGAAGGCTGGCCCTGAGATGATGATGATGATGATGTTCAGACAACTTCTTTCTTTTCACTAATTGGGAAGCCTGTTCCTTGGCTCTGGGTTATTAGCTCAAAAGCACCCACAGTACCCTCACGTATTTCCTTGTCTCCCTTTATTTAAAGAATTGGACAAAAAAGCAATGCCCGAGCCTATGTGTGTCAGTGACATGAAATAATTTGAATATTCCCTTTTCAGCTTAAAGTTCATCCAGAAATAATTGGCAAATAAATTATTGGTATATGGTCGGAGGCACAGTGATCATACAGCCACATGGTGGTGTACCGATTACACTTGCAAAATTGTGGGTACTGCTACCAACATTGTCAAAATTATGGATGAGACACAGAGGCCCACACAAACCATTTAGCCACACTACCCAGACTTTCCTGGTGTGGGTAGGCTCTGAGGGTCAATGAGCTGATGGGTGGGGAAAATTTTCCTCTCCAGTCCCCTTCCAATACTCTGAGTCAACCTGACTCCTCAGTGCTCCAGGGAGTTACCAAAATCCACAAGACTGCACACATTAACATGTAGAACAACCCTATAAGGTAGGCATAACAAAACTCCCACAAAATGTACAGGATCCTGTAGGGCAGAGGTCTAAAAAATGCAGCCTGGGGGCCATTTGCAGCCCACCGGATGATAGTTTGTGGCCCCTGCCTTGCCTGCCCCCCCTGAAGCGCCCATGTGTCTTCCGCTGTCAAGAATCAAAAAAAGTCTCACCTTGCTCGCCAGCTCTCCCCCAAGACAGTGGCTCTTGCACCCTCCATCCGGAACTGCAGCCAGCCCGCCTGTGCCTTGGGGGGGGCTCAGAGGAAGGTTGCCGGACCTCCATGTATGTGTGGGGCACCCCGTTCTGTTTAATATCGTGGGTACCAATGGAGGCTTTTCTCCTTTGGCAAGGCGATTCTGTGAGAGTTTTAAAAAAATTTTATGTCATGTCATCCTCCCCCCCGCTAGGTGGTCGCCGGCGGTCCCTCTCTTCTCTGCTTCTTCATCTTGGTGGTGGTGGTAGTGAAGAAGGAGCTGGAGGGGGTTGTGGCTGGTGGCGAAGGCTTGCGCGCCCCTCCTCCTCCTCGGAGCCCCAGACGGGCTAAGGAAACTCCTGGGTGGCTTCCTCAGACTCTTGCTCCACTTGGCGGAAAATTTGATGCGGCCCAGCCTCACCCAGACTCTGCCTCCAGCGGCCCCCAGGTAAATTGAGTTTGAGATCCCTGCTGTAGGGACATGAGGTAAGACCCTTCTTTAGTACCAACGGATTCTTTTCTTCTCAGAAGAACCAAACTGCTGTAATAATTTTATTACATATTTTTTCTGTGTATAAGACATCCCCATGTGTAAGATACCCCCCCCATTTTGACTTTTTTGAGCCCAAGTGCCCAACGCAGCAGGCACCCTCCAGGCTGGTGTGTCCTCTGGAAGGTGGGCAGAGGGTTCCTTTTTCCCTCTCCCCAAATATAGGCCAAATATAATCAGGGCTTCCTGTGCTATGCTCCACCCCACTCACTCTCCTGAAGTGCTGGAGTCACAGTCGATGGGCAGTAGTGATTTGGTGCCAAGGGACGGCTGGGTGCAGCTCCTCCTTTGCCTCCACCTGTTGCTGCTACTGTTGCCACCTGATCACTACCTCCAGTGCCACTCGTGGGCTCCCTATGGGTGGATGACAAGGTGGTGTGAGCTGAGCCCCAGCAGCGAGCTGCACCACACCCTGCACCAGGCTGGCATGGGCAGCAGCATCGGCTTGGCTCATGTGCCCACTGAAAGGGCTCTGTGTGCCAGCCGTGGCATGCATGCCATAGGTTCAGCTTACTAAGACGACCTAATGTTAGTCTAACTATTTATGGAAAAAGTAGCGTCTTATACGTGGAAAAATATGGTATTTTATTAAAGATGTTGCAAACAGTCAGAAAGAAAGAAAGTCACAAACAGTTGCAAAGATTAGTTCCGAAAAGTTAAAAAGCAGTCAAAAATTTGTAAAGTTGCCAGCTGTGGCATTCATGCCATAGGTTCAGCTTACTAAGATGACCTAGTGTTAGTCTATTTTAGGAAAAAGTAGCATCTTGTACATGGAGAAATACAGTATTTTAATTAAAGATGTTGTGAACAGTTAGAAAGAAAGTCATAAACAGTTGCAAAGATTAGTTCCAAAAGGTTAAAAAGCAGTCAAAAATTTGTGAAGTAAATACACATTGAAAAAGCTTTGAGGCCAAAGCAATTCCAGAACATTTCCCACAGAAAATAAAAAAGCTAAATAACCTAGACTACCTACATTGAAACAGAAATTCAGTATAATTCCAGAGTGTGTTCAGATTATAAATCAATTAGCAAGACAACAAATGAGAATAGCATTCTCCTCAAAGAAACTGGGCTAAATTAAGCTTATTTCCCCTACCGTTTTATACCCATAATCCACCTTCTAGCGCTTTCAAGTATATTTTACCAATCAGGTCCTGAGCTGCCCTGAAACTTCCAGATGGGAGTAACTTTTTAAAAAGTAACTTCACTGTATTCCACTCTATTTTTTTCCAACCAAAAATTCTCACTAATTAGGTTGGTACCAGGAGAGAGTTTTGCCAGGAGTGTTTTATGATCTTTAAAATTCCTTCACATACGGTCCTGAGCTGCCCTGAAACTTCCAGATGAGAGTAATTTTTTAAAAAGTATCTTCACTGTATTCCACTCTATTTTTTTTTCCAACCAAAAAATTCTCACTAATTAGCTTGGTACCAGGAGAGAGTTTTGCCAGGAGTGTTTTATGATCTTTAAAATTCCTTCACATACCCATAAGACACACCTTCCAATCAACAGTCGTCATCTCCCTCTCTCTTCTGGCCTACCCATTTTAGCACCAGCAAATAGACCTATTTCAAAGTCAACTGAAAGCATTAGCTCCTCATTTGCCAGTCTCTTGACATATGAGAACCCACAATTTATAGATAGGTTGGACTCCTGTTATCCTTTCTGGAAAAGATTCATCAGCAGCATTCTTCATGTGGAGATTTCTCTTGACTTTCTGCCTAAAGCCTAATGCAGGGATAAGCAAAGGACAAATGGCCAGAAGAACCTGTCCTCAGACTGTGTTTGTAGATCTCAGCCCTACCAGCTCCTGCCCTAATAAGCAATGCAACTATTATTAAATATAAAAACGAGTAATCACAGACAATTATTTTGGAACACTTTTAATGAGTAACCAGAACAAGTTAGTTTTAAATAGTAATTTTGCAAGCTCTGATTGTCTTTATCCAGCAGTGGGCCAAGACACTTGGCTGTCTGAGACAAAAGACAGCTTAGATCACTTTGTCAATTCCATGTCCAGAAGAGACTAGCACACAACTCTGACTTAGACAATAGCAACAAGGCAACAGACCCATTTGGGGCTTGGAGAGCAGGTAACCAATAGCTTTGTCCTCCAACACCCACAACCTGAAGCAGGTGCTTCCGTCTGCCTAATGGTGGGGCCAGCTCTGTCCCTCCTCTGTCTCCACAGTCCCAACTGTATTAACACGGGGACTAATTCTCTCAGGCTTTCCATCAATCTGATGCAGACTGAAAATAATGCAAATCACTTGGGTACGGAAGATGGATAATATGGCTCTATTCATGATGTCTAGAGGAGAGCCCAACCCTTCTAGGTGTCATAAAGCTTTCTGATTCCAGGGGAGAGGAGTTCTTAAAGGTCCCAGTTGTGTACAGACCTGTGCACACTTCAGTCGTAAGTGGAATAGTGGGGGAAAGCTTCAGGCCTAGAATTTCTATGGCCTTTCCTTCCTCCCAGAAGGTATTAGACACAAAACAGGCTCCAGCTAAAGTGGGGAGAGAGGGCAGCAGGAAGAAAAAAAAAACCATTGACTTTCTCAACTAGCATCCTGTGAACTCATTATCTCTAAAGGTGCTATCTTTGACGGGGATAACAAGTTCACCATAGCTGGCTGCTCGGCTGCCTTATCATGAAGCTTTTGCTCAAAGGAAGAATGTAACCTTTTCGTGTTCAGGACAGACTAAGGCATGACATCCATGAACATTTCATATTCTTCTACTCTTGCATAGCAGTTTCTGCTGACCATACCCTATCTACAACTGTGGAGGGTAACACTCCTCAGGCAAAATACATCTGCTGGCCTTTGTGGAGCAACGCTCATTAGAGCCGGGGTGGGGGGAAGGAAGGAAAGGAGGGTGGTGCTTCTCCTCCCCCCCATTGCTGCCTGTCTGAATCCATAGCACAACTGCCTCTTAGCCAGCTGTGCGGATAATGCTTGACTTTTAGGGGTCCTTGGCACCAGGGCCAAATCAACGTACCTGGCCAAGAAGTGGTTGTGCTATGGAGACACAAGCAGGATGGCTGTTCAGAAGAAGGCCAGCCATTCATGCAAAAGCTGGCTGTGCACACAGAATGGGCAAATAGGATGCTTGCCCACGTGGCTGCCATACTAATTGCAAGACTTTACGCCTTATTTCAGTTTTACTTGGATTCAGTTGAGGTTGTATAATGGCCAGAGTGTGGGCAAACAGCAAGACTTAAACAAAAAAAGGAGGAACAGCAATGGCACCAGAGGCATTTGTATAGCAGGTTGACCATATACTTCTGCCTTACAGGAGTACAGTCTTGCTCAGAGGCCTTCAACTCAAGTTGAGCAGAAAAGGGGAAAGGAGGACCAAGATTATTATTTTATTGTGTTCACATATTGAAAACATGACAACAAGTGGAAAACATCTCAGTAGAAAATGCAGAAATTGCTTGCTTCCTGGAGGCTGAGATTAGAGCAGATGGAAATCCCAGGAGGATTGCTAGGGCTGCAAAGAATGGTTGGTGGCTGCAGGTTGTACTGTTGGCTGTAGCTAAGAAACACCATCCTAAAAGTCCTTCTTACTCTTTGTTAAGAAGGTAAAACAGTAAAACAGCCTTAGTATCTAAAAGAGCGGTCTCTTTTCAATGAAGTTGCCATAACATTTTATGACTATGAAATCCAAGATTTCCCAAGTCCTTTGGATTCAGTTTCAGAATCCGCCTAGATAACATTTTATGACTATGAAATCCAAGATTCCCCAAGTCCTTCAGATTCTATGGGCTGCTGTGTTTTATGGAATGTCGGGAATCAAATAAATAAATAAATAAATTATGGGCTGCTGTGTTTTATGGGATTTCGGTCAGCTGCTCTCCCCACAAACATCTGACTCCTCTCATAGTAAAAGCAAGACTTTTGGTAGTCATAGAGTGAGTTTACCCTTCTTTCAAGACATGACTGTGTTCAGTTCTCTTCTGCTTTGCAAAAGCATATGGAAGGTATGCAAACTTTGACTGACTGATTAATTTGTACTTGTCAATTAGTTAGTAAGCCTGTTAGTTACATTTTATCTTACCTTTCCTTTGACCTCTTCTCAGCCTGGAAAAGTTATTTCTTGGATTGCAACTCCCAAATTCCCTCAGCTGCCATTGCCTGTACTGTAGCTGTGTCAGATGGGGGATTCTGGGAGGCTTCTGTGGGAGTTTTTGCAACCTCACATGCTGCCTTTAGTAGGTTTGGCTCAAAGAGGCCTTTCTGGGCTTGGGTGCTGTTAATCTATTCAGCACTAACCAATCATTCCTTCTCTGCCTCTGCATTCAAAGAGAGCTCCTTGCCACTTTTACTCAGTGTTTTCCCCCCTCTTTGGTGTCTGTGATAGTTTGTGGAAGGCAGTCATGTTTGTCAGTTTGCTGTTTAAGCTGCTTGATTGTATGTAATAAAACTTTTTATTCTTTCTCCTACCGGTGTCCTAGAACGAGTTATTGAAACTGTAAATGGCGGTTCACGAGAAAGGGGTGGACTACTCTGGGGAACTTGAAACTATTCTACTCTGCGAAGCCCTACACTTCTACTTTGCAGCTAGAGGAATTTAATCAAGAATTCAAACCTCTGCAAGAGCTTAGGCTGAAAAAGTAACTTTTCCAAGCTGTACCTCCTCTACATTTCCTCCTCACCACAATGAGGTGGATGAGACAGAAAAAGAATGACTTGCCCAAAGTCACCCAGTGAGCTTCAGGGCTCCATGAGGGATAGAATCTGGATGTTCAAAGTCCCAGTCTAGCATTTTAATCATTGTAGCATATTGGCTCTCAGCCGGGGTGGACTACTTCTGGGTTTAAGAGATTGGCTCTAAACTATAACTCTTTGCATAGATTGCAAAACCAAGCATGCATAATACCTTTATTGGACCAAGGAAATATTAAACACAGACAAGCGTTCAAGTCCAACAGGACCCTTCATTGGGCTACCACTCCAGAGGTGGAAGAGGTGAAGAAACAAAATAGTCCAAATATCATCATGATCAAATGTTGCCAAGTTAAGCAGTGTTTGATAAGGTTTAACTCATGTTCCAAGATGGAGATTGTAAACTCCCTACTTCCCTTCCCTTCCCCTTGGCTTTGGTACACCCTTTGAGCACCCCCACAGCTGTGCACTTCCCTTCCTGAGCCTGTGTTTGCCAGCAAGGCAAGGGAGCTGGTAGAATCAGAATTCACCTAGACAGTGTAGAATGGATTCTCTTTCTCCATCTCTGGAGACCAGGGGTTATCATTCACGTAGTGCATTCTCCACGGCCTTGCACTGAAGCATAAGAATAGCTCCTGTTTGGCTAGGAGCAGAGGCACACAGAGATGTGGCAATCTCCATATCAGAAGAGTTGGAGATTAAATGCTACAAAAAAGAGGTCGACTGGAATCAAATTAAGAATATTAGGTAGTAGTTAGAGGGCAATGGATTCCTCTAGGGGAGCATTCCTATTTGAAGGGTAGTAGATCTTCCCACTCCAGTGCCTTGATTCTGGATATTCCCCACAATCCAATGGAAAGGGGGGGGGGAAAGGAAAATAAGGCATAAACTCTATGCATGTTTACCTGAAAGCATGGCCAGTTTGCAAGATTGCACCCAAACGTACCCGTGCCTTTGAATGAATCTGTGGGGATTGCAGCTGAGTACCTTGCTGCTTGTCATACTGAAATGAAACAGATGCTATGAAATCACTTGGAGAAAGAGATATTTTTCAACTTCCAAACACAGAGAGCCCAGGTGTAATTATATGACATACCACGACACAGGTCTTTTGAAAGGGATCAAGCATCTGCCTTCTCAATATTACAGGTCTGCTACAGGTGATTGTCAAGAAGAAAGAAGGCAGTGGTTCCTGTAATAAATTGTGTGCTTGGTTTTAGAATTTGATGAAGAAGGAACTGGAGCTAAATAGGGAAGGGGGAAATCTGTCTAAGTCACTTGTGACACATTCAGATTTTTTAAAAAGCTCAAGTTCCTTTCCCCTCCCCACTTCTCATCCTGATTAGGGAGGACTTTGTGATGTGCAATAAATTCTTCAAAAGTAAGTTGAAACCAAATTGTCCTTGATCTGCATCTTGATCTGTATCTACTGTACAACAAATTCAGTAGGTACAGCCATTTCCAGCAATGAGAGATACCGTACATTTTTTTTTTTTTTGCCTGCATAGGATTGTAAAGACTGGGAGCCTATCAGATGTGGCAGCCCTAAGTCAGTACCACAGATTAGGCTGTGACTACATTGGAAAGATGAATTGGAACATTTGATGTTGCTGAGATTTGATTCATAGCCTAACCTGTATTATATCTTAAATTGAAATCAGTGCTGCCACATGGGCTGTGGTTTGATTTGTGAGTTTACCATTCATATCTGTTGTGATGCAAGTAGTATTCCAACCCACAGCCTTCATTTGTTCATTCATTTGTTCGTTCGTTCGTTCCTTCCTTCCTCCCTTCCTCCCTCCGGGTCCCTCTGGCACTCCTGCGATTGGCCTGCGGCAACCCTAGCTGTCCTTCCGTCCTTCCTTCCTTCCTTCCTCCGGATGCCTTTGGCACTCCTGCGATCGGCCTGCGGCAACCCTAGCTCCTCCTGGTCTCTTGGGGGCCCACTCGGGAGCAGCAACAGCGTCGGCACCATCACACAAAGATCTAGCTGGTCACTCTCACCATCTTGTCCTTGGCGAACCACAGACGTGCTCATCTCACCCCAATGTTGGCAGGTCTGGAGGGAAACGAAGTTCTGGCCCAGATTTTTCACCCATCCTGACAAAGAAATGAAAAAATTTTGAGCATAATTATTTCTACTCACTTGCCACTATATTTCTGATTGATATTCTTAGATATCTAATTGTGCTTTATATCATGGCCCTATCTGATGCTTAAGTGAGGCAAGGGGGAGAGAGTATAGTAGATGGATTGTTGAACCAGAATGTGATGACTCATCCTGGCCTATATACATCTAATTCATACGTGCGTAGGTTTGCTGGATCATTATCCCTGCTCCTATGATATATAAAGATACAGTATGTCTAAGCAGAAATGCATATGAAATTCCCTTCATCTAGTTGGGGAGTTCCATATTATCTGATCTTATTTATATAGCGGCACTAAAGAAATGGCAACATTTGGACTACATGGGGGATATTGGATGTATTGGTCCCACTTTGTCACAAGCAATCTTATTAGTTCTTCATGGCTGGATCTCAGAATAAGTCCCTTTTGCCCTTAGATATGGGGGGGGGGCAGGGGTTTAAACAGCCTTCTGTTTATCTCCTTGTTGTGCTATACTGTACTTCTTACAGTCATCTTCAGGGGCTTCTCCTCTCTGCGGTCAGTTGCATTTCTAGTTTAGTGGCATATGCTCTGAAAGCTGCATGGGCAAAACCAGATGACTGGTTTCAACATATTTCCCAATAGCATATAGAGACAGGATATACGTGTGCAATTTCCTCATCTAAATTTATTTATTTTATTATTACTTTAATTTATGCACCACCCCATTAGTGCCAAAGCACTATTCTGGGCAGTTTACAAGCCATTAAACCAAACTACTACAACAAAGCAGTAAGTAAATTACCACATGAAACAAAAGCATAATCCAAAACTTAAAAACCAGTGGCGTAAACCAGTTCTCAGAATGAAGTGAAGCAGGAGGGAAGGGATTCACCCAGGGTAGCGTGAAAGGCCTCTCTGAAAAGTAGAGCTTTTAACTGCCTCCTAAATGAGTATAGGGAGGGGGCCAAGCAGAACTCCTCTGGGAATCGATTCCATAAATGAGGCACAGGTGTACCGGAACCATGAGAGTCTGGAAGGAATAAGAGTTCTTCCATTTTGGAAAAGAGGTGGCGAGATCCATAGTTGAAGATGAAATGTTACTTTTTTTTAGCATTTCTTAACTGTTTGGTTATCCATCTCTCAGTGTGGCAGAATGGCAGTGAGAATCTTGTCAATCAAGGCAGTGAGGGGCGCATGTTTTCATTCTATATTGGTTAGATTTCTGCCTTCTTTCTGTTCCTGCATTTCTGGATGGGGGTGTGTACCAATAAGACATGGGCATGAAGCTCAGTTTGGACATTTGCACCAGTCTTTCAGAAAACTCACAATTCCTGGTAGATTATCTCTCACTTGGGTTCCAAATAGATTAGTACCAGAGATGGGAACGAACCTCATTTTGAAGGTTCCTGCTGGTTCATTGTCATGGCACCAGAGGTGCCCTGTGTTCCCTTCCTCCACCCCCAGCTGGTTTTCCCACTCACCAGCCAGCGTGTGCTGATCTTCTCCTGCTCTTGGAGGAGAAGATCTAGTCACAGCAGAAGCTCGTGCTTCCCTCTTCTGCCTCCTCCAGCAGCCACCCACTCAAAGGCAGCACTGCAGGAATCCCTGCCCTGCCTCCTTGTCTGAATGGGCAGCTGCAGGTGGAGGTGGAGGAGAGAAGCACAGGCTCCTGCTATGACTGGATGGTCATGCAAAGACCAGCGTGTGCTGCCTGCTGAGTGGGAGAGCTGACTGGGGGTGGGGTAAAGGGAATGCGCAGCACCTGTGGTGCCATGCTGATGAACCAGCACAAACCATTGAAATGAGGTTCATTCCCATCTCTAGTACTAATCTCTTTGGAACCCAAGTGAGAGATGATCCACCAGGAAATGTGAATTTTATGAAAGAGCTTATAATAGGCCACATTGTGGTAAGGAGTGCTGTTTTCATTCCCATAATATCACCTGCATATTTAGGCTACATAGTCTTACTTCTTGGTGCCTGAATAGTTACTTGGTGATTTGGAGAAATGCCATAGTAGAAAATGTGTGTGTCTTGGAATGTGGGTGGCGGGTGGGTGGGGCACAATTTGGTCAGCTGTGTACAAAACTGGAATTCTGGCTCAGCAGTAATCTAAGCAGAGAGACTAGGGTGGAAGATGCAAAAGGCAATGGGGAGCAGAGCCAGGAGTAACAGACTATTGTTACCTGCTGTTGCTTCATTTTCCTGTACTGCCTCCTTTCTCTTTTTTCATATACAAGCCTTCACACAGCGTGTTAAAGAGCCCAAGAGTTCTACAGGAGGTGAGCCTGGCCTCCCCATCTCTGATAGGGATGCAGGTAAGAGTGGGTTGGCAGGGCATGGATCTCAGCTTGGCCGAGGGTGGGTAGCTCCCCTTGGGCCCTGGAAACTAGCCATCACTGACTTCAACAGACAGAGCTGGAAGGTGCTGCAAACTGAGTGTGCCACGGTTCCAGGAATTCTTATTAGTAATTGCAAAAGAGGAAGGTGGCGTGGCATGTGGGGCATAGTTAACAAACGGAAGAATAACAGATGAAAATGGTACAAAATCAGCTCATCCTAGTTCTTCTAAATTGCTTTCAAATGTCAACTTTTGCTAGCCTGAGAAGGTGCTAACATGGCCTTTTCTTTCAAATTACAACCCGTCATATAATGTAAGCATTACACCAAGTGGTTTGTGCTCTTCCAGGAGAAAATGAGTGCACACATCCGGAGAGGGACATACAAACACAGAGACAGAATTAGATTGTCTGCACAGTTAGCCATGCAGTGTCACTTTGACGGCAAAAAGTGCAATGAAAACAGATTCCCCCTCCCCCAATGTTTCCTTGTTTCTCATTTTGTCCAAGCACTCGCGCTCCACGACCAGTTTTTCAGAAATCTTAAATAACAACTAGCTTGAATGTTTCAGCCTCAGAAATAGAAGCAACCAGTGTTAGTGTTGGTGTGTGTGGGGATTCTTATTCCATTTATTACAATAAATGCTCTTACATAGGCATGGGTGAAAGGAAAGGAAATGTGGAAAAATTTATTTGAGGTCATCTTATAAGGGCTCAATCCCACTGGCGCCCCCCCTTTTGAACTGTGTTGGGTTAAAAACCAACTGATTTAGATTTTAGCGTGCATGCATGGACTACTGTGCCAGCGGAGTAGTTTTCTCTGCTCTGTTTATTTTGAGGTGATGTGGAATTGATTCATTGCCCCTGCCACTTCTTTTTAAAAAAATCCTGCTGTCTGATACAATGCAATACCAGATAGCAGGAATTAAAATGAACTAAAAATCTGTGCTCCCCCCCCGCTTGCCCAATCACTCCGTCGTTGCATGCCCGTTTGTCCCCATTACCAGCTAGATTGCCCCCCCCCGAGCCGGATTGCCCTGACCACCCAATCACTCCTCTCTCCCCAAATCACCCACCCA